GCCTATTTTCCTGCCCCCTCCTTTCCCATTGCCTGTAAACCAACTTTAGCAACCAAAAAACGGGGGATGTATTAATATCACGGACGTTTTCTGTTTTGTCTTTCAAACTTTTATTGCCTGTCTGAACTTCTTAAATCAAAGTCATTCACAGGGAGGAAAAATATTGAATCTGCTGTTGGAAAGCTGGGGAAGTATAACCGTATTAAACTTGGTTGGTGCCATGTTTGCTGACCCAAATTCTTGATAATATCAGAAATTAAAAAAAAACAAAAAACAGCCCTATCCATTTACCATTTTATTTTTATTTTTATTTATTTCTCTCCATGCACTGCATAAGGAAAACAGAGCTGTAGTTAAGACAAAGTGACAAGGGCTTTGATGCAGGGTGCTGAAACGTAATAATAATAAAAAATTTTGTGCGGTCAAGTCAGTTCCAATATATGATGACCCTTTCCAGGGTTTTCTAGGTAGAGAATGCTCTGAAGTGGTTTACCCTTCCCATCTTCTGGGACTGTGCAGCTTGCCCAAGGCTGCAAAGACTGTCTCTTCTGAGATGCCTAGTGGGGAATTGAACTCCCAACCTCTGGCATGCCTGAATCACTGAGCTAGCTAGAGGGCACAAAAATTTGGTGCAGGAAGGATGCAAACCCATAAACTGGTTCTTCCTGCTTGCAAGTGTGTGAACCCACATTGTCTCAGCATATATATCACCTGGACATGCTCTTCTCTGGGCAGAAGGAAAATCAAAACAGGTGGGTTTAGCATAATAGCTATTTGGCTATTATATATTTTTAAATGTATTTTTTTCTTAAACTACAACATAAACATAAAATACATAAACCAAAATACAAATTGACTGTGTTCCCCACCACCCTAGTAAGGACCTCTAGCAATAATCCTCGTCTTCTTCTATCCATATTCTTCTTCCTTTATTGTCCTCTTCTCCAGAACTGCATTGATTCTTGATTTGGAGCTTTCCCTTTTCATCTTGTTAGCACATACTCAAGACATCTGCCCCATGTATCATAGAAATTATTCTTTTTCATCTCTCCCATCTCAACCTTTACATTACAAATTAACTTATCATTTACAGCAATGTTCCATATTTCATTATACCATTCTTCCATTCGAAATTCAGACTTTGATTTCTAATTCCTAGCTATTATTAATCTGGCTGCTGTTAATCAATTGGTAATCAATTCTCTAGTCATCTTATCATATTCCACGTTTTCAAATATTGATTACAGAGCTATCTCAGGATTAAATTCTATACCTTTTTCACATACAGTACATCATTTAGTTCTTTAAAGATTAGTTTCCAAAATCTTTGTACTTTTTTGCATTCCCACCACATATGAAAGTATGTACCAATTTCCTTCTCACATTTCCAACAGACATTCAGATAGCTAGCGTTAAATGTTATTAAATTTTGTCTGTGTCAAATAACATCTTAAACCCAATTCGGAAAAAAAATTCTCTTATTCTCACCAACATAAATCATAAAACCCTCATTTTCTGCATCTTCCTCCATTCTTCATCATTTATTCTTTTTCCTAAGTCTTGTTCCCACAATAACTTCAATCCTTCTTTCTCCATCTCTTCTTCTTCCAGGAATCTATAAATTTTACTCACTGCACCCTTTACTGAATCGGACATCTGAATATCTTCATATGATAATATAAATTGTTCATACTTTGTATATTCTCTACCTTTATTATACTTCTTTATCCATTCATTCGTCCATTTTTCTAATTGCATATAATTCAACCATGACATATTCTTATTTTGAAGGATTTGTTTCATTTGATCTTTCAATCTCATTTTATACAACCAGTTTTTTAATGTAATCAATTTTTTTCTTTAAATAATTCTGCATACACTTTCATATTGTCAGGAAAATTCTCTAATAACCCATTTTTAAAGACGATGTTAAATGTCTGGTACAAGTATAGAAAGAATTTATGTCCGTTTAACTCTCCGGATCAAGAGTTCTACCCAGTTCTCCATTCTTTCCCTATGTTTCCATGTTTTATTAACGGACAGAAATGTGTTGGGCAGCAAAATTGGAACGTTACAGTTCTGACAGAAGATATCTGATTTCCACAAAAGAGCAATACATTCTGTCAAGAAAGTTTCATGGGATCTTGTTCTTTTAAGGAGCAAGCTGCCCTGTCATCCAAAATGAAAGTCTCACTTAACTGCCTTTGAAGTTAATTGGATGTATTCAGAACAGTCTAGTATCTGTAAATGTTCTTGTGTATGTTGCTGGTCAATAAATGGCAACAATCTCTGGGGCAAACAGAGAGAGCTGGGAAATATAGCAAGGCTAAACTATTAAA